GGGTCGGGCCCGGCCCGCCTTGTCCGCGGCCCGGCACGGGCGGGCCCCGTCCCCGCGCTGTGCGTGTGGAAAACCTTGTTTTTTTCCCCGTGTTTTTCCGTCTTCTCCCCGTCCTCCTGCCTCCTTCCCTTGGGGGCTTTTCCGTGCTCTCTGTCCCCTTCTCATGCCCCTCTCCCCGCCTTCCCTCCCCAGGCGGCAGCAGTATGTGGGGAAGCTCAAGTTCGCCTCCCTGGAGGCCTCGCAGGGCTCCAAGAAGCTCGTGGTGGCCACGGAGAAGAACGTCGTGGCCGCGCTGAACTCCAGGAACGGCGAAATCCGTGAGTGCACCCGGGCTTTAGAGCCCAGCAGGATTTTTTTTTTCCTCCCAAAAGGAATCTCTCTGTTGTGGTGGCTGACACTGCGTTTCCCCAGCATTAAGTTAATATTGCCCAGACTGCCTTGTGAGCCTGCAGTTCCAGAGCTTATTGCTTAGGACGGACAGACCTGTGCACTGGGCTATAGGAAACTTGGGCTCAAATCTAATAAAGGCAGCAGCATTTGCAAAGGCAAATCTTACTGAACTCCTTGTGCTTTCAGTGTGGCGCCACGTGGATAAGGGGACTCCCGAAGGAGCAATAGATGCGATGCTGATCCACGGACAGGGTAAGGAGAGTGTTAGTTCCCCATCGGGATCAGTGCCTGTCCCTGCACGTGGGACTCCAGCCTCACGTAGCTGGCATAACTGTGAAGCTGGCCCCTGCCAGCGGTCTCACTGATTTGGGGTCCTGTTTTTATGTCCTTCCGTTTGTTTTCGGCACAGATGCCATCACGGTGTCCAACGGTGGGCGCATCCTCCGCTCCTGGGAGACCAACATCGGGGGCTTGAACTGGGAGATGCCGCTGGATACTGGCAGGTGGGTCCTGGCACCGTCCCCTTCCCCTCCTGGAGCCAGCGCAGGGAGGAGAAGCTGTGTTCTAGGGCAGTGCTGGTTGGGTGTAAGTCCTCTAAAATAAATAGATGAATTTGGGGGAATTTTGTAAATTTGTAGTCAGGTTTAATGCTGTTTCCAGCCCTTGACAAACAGGTAGGACAAAATCTTTCATAGGTAAATTTTCCTGCCCAGTGTAGAGCGTGGAAGGTACCACTTTGATTGGAGTGTTTTCTTCCAGCCTAAACTCTTTGCTGAAATCACTAGGGATGGGTAAGGAAAGGTATTTTCAGCCTCCTTTTGCAGGAGATCTCCATACAGAGTGTGTTCTTCGCCATCAGCCTTTTCTCATGCGCTGTCTCTGGCCTGTGCTCAGTTTCCAGATGGCTGCATTGGTGGGGCTGCAGGACGCGGTGAAGTACGTGGCAGTCCTGAAGAAGGCGGCCATCTCTCTCCACTACCTTTCCAACGGGCACCAGAAATGGGTAGAGCATTTACCAGACAGGTAAAAATAATAATAATAATAATAATTTTAGGTAGAAGCTTCAGTAGCTGATGCGGAACTTGATTGCTTGAGGAGGAGAGGATGCTGATCCTGAGCTTCCTTTTCACTTATGTAAACTCGTTCAGTCCGAAGACAAGTGAAGCTGGTAGTTAACTTTCTGAAAGGATAAAGCAGAAGTTAGAGGGGGAGAACTTCCAAGTGTTTTGTGAGCTTTGCCAATGGAATGCTTTTCCGGAAAAAGGAGAGGTCCTCCATTCTGAAAGCACAAACTATTACATTTTTTAAAATTATAGAGACAGGAATATTGGAGAGAGTGTAAGGGAAGGGTGAAGAAATTCCCTACCAGCTTGTCTCTGTCACCTTCTGATTTTTCACTGCAGAAAGCAGTGACTGAAGGCGAGCTGTCTGTAAACTATTTGTACTGATAGACAGGCTGCTTTTAGAACAAGCAAGCTAGGATGGAGCTGCTCATTCCTCAGGAGACCCGTGATAGTGTAGCTTGAGGAGAATTTGGAGCACAGTTGAAGATGGTACTTTACAGCAGCTGCTTCTCTTGCAGTGAGAGTGCTCGGTACCAGCTATTATATTCCCGTGGGACTGGAGTGATCCACGTACTTGGAATTGTTCCTCAGAGCCACTTGAATGTTCTAACCTTCAGCGTAGAGGATGGAGAAATTACAAAACAGGTAGTGCTTGAATGTGAATTCAAAACATTGGATATGTTGCCAGCTTGGCTTTGATGTTTCTCAATGTCCTTCTAGCTAGGTAGCTGTGGCATCATTACAGAGCAATTAATTATCCTAATTAAACTTTCCTTTCTAAAGGAAAGGACTAAACTTTCTAAAGGAAAGGACTAAACTTTCCTTCCACCGTGGCATTGCCAAGAAATAAATTTTCACTCTTGAACGTTCTGAAAGCAAAAGGTTGGCTTCTGGCAGAAATTTCGTGCTGGCAGACAGTTTATCCTAGGGTCGCGGGTGAAAAATGCTTCTGACTTAAATGTCTTGGTCATGACCATATTGGTTCTTGGAAGTTTTCGGAGCTGTTGACAGCTCTGCCTGTCTCTTGCAGATGAGAGTAGCCAGCCCGTGGCTGAAGAGCGTGGCCGGCGCGTGCGGCGTGGTGGGAGAGGCCGTGCTGGTGTGCGTGGACGTGGCGGCGCGCTCGCTGCACGTGTGCTCCTTGGAGACGGAGCAGGAGATGAGGCAGATCCCGCTGGAGGTGAGCGCTGCTGGCCGAGCTTCTTCAGAAATGTGTTGTGCAACTGCATGTGGTGGGTTGCTGGCAGCAGAGCTTTGCTGCAGGGTGGGCACGAGCCTCCTGGCTCTGTTCCGTGCTTATCCTCATGTGGGCAACCTCTTTATAGAGCACTGCTGCTCATTGTAAAAGGAAGTTACGAGGCTCCCTGGAGGAGAAGTTTCCTTGAACGTATGTGCTGATCTCCCTTCCTCAGTCACTTGACCTGGAGTTTGCCGATGGCTTCGAGCCCAGGATCTTGGCCACTCAGCCCAGCCCTGCGAGTGCTTCGCGGACCCAGTTCTTCCTGCAGCCGGCTCCGAGCCGCTTCTTCCTGCTGCAGTACAGGCACGGGCTGCTCAGCCACCTCCGGGACTTCCAGCAGGTAACGGGGATCAGGGCGGCTGCAGAAGTGGCAGTGACAGAGCCAACTGCAGCATAAAAACCCCAGAACAGCTCCCGCTCTCCCAAGGCATTGTACAAAAGCCACTGGCTTTCCCATTCCCCTTGTGCTTTCTGCTGCAGTATTTGAAAACTTTTTGATTTCATTTATGTGTCAAAATATTTTTCAGTCATCAATTTAGGCATGTTGTGTTGCTGACAACTGTTAGCATGGGGGAAATCCGGTTTTGAGCTGGGCAGAGACACATACATGTACGCGACCAGTGACTTTTGTTAAACCAGCTGTGAAGCTTTGAAATGAGAAAAATATTTAATGCATTACTCATAAGAGGTACTAGGGGTAGTGCTTCAAAAGCTTGTGCAGGTCAAACATTTACTTCTTTACAAGAACCTTTCCTAGTCGTTGAAGAGCTGTGATTTTATCTTTGGTGAGATGACAAAATTTGGAATTTGGCTGTAGAGGATCCAGTGTTAGTTTCAGTGGGGTTTAACTTCCTGCATGGGTAACTTCTGTTGTTTCTGTTGGCTTTAAGTTTTCCAAATATATATGTGTGTGTGTGTATATATACATATATATAAATATATGTATATATAAATATATATATATTTATATGTTATTTTTCAGGCAGCTCTGGTAAGCTTTGCAACTACTGGGGAAAAAACTGTGGCCGCCGTCCTTACCTGCAGGAGTGAGCTGGTAAGTACCATTTATTTGCACTATGTGCCCAGCACAGTTCTGTAACACGGACACATGCTTGAAATGGGTTCCATGAGCATTTTCCTTTGCAGATCCAGGGATGTTTATTAACTTACAAAGAGTAGGATTTAGTTACTCAGACATACGAAGACAATTCAAGCAGCTTTTGACCACATGCAGCTAAAGTTACCTCTAGTTGCAGGAAAGGTGCTGTGCTGCACAGCCTCTTTTAGCCTTGTGTAAGCTGCTAGTGTGTTAACCTGTGAATTTGCTCTATCCATCCATGGAGGATTTTTGTTCTTAGTAGTATTGAACTTGGCAAGTTTTCATCTTTTTCGGAATTGTCTCTGGCCTCTTTTTATAGCTAAGTGTAGAGACAGAGCTTTCTGTAGGTAGGCACTCAAAGCACCATTTTTTTTTCCATGCTTTCGTTGAGTTCCCAAGCCCTATGATCTCTTCTTGTCCTCACTGCAGAAACTTGGAAGCTCTGATGGCCTTCATGCTGGAAGTGCTCTGGAGAATTCCCAGGAACAGGTATAAAATGAGCTTATTCCCAAGAGCAATAGAGATTCTTGATGATCCATAGTCCATATTTTTTTTCATTCACATGTGAAAGCAGAATGAAAAAGGGATTATACCAGGGTTTTGGAGATGGGTCTTTTTGGAGAAACCTTCATGTGGAATTTGGTGTGACATGTGTGTTTAACTTGGCTTTTTTTTTTTTTTTTCCCTCCATGGTGCTTCAGGAATCATTAACTTGTTCCAACCACACCTACAATATTAATCTCTATCTGGTTGAAACTGGCCAAAGACTGTTGGATACCACGATTACCTTTAGCCTGGATCAGAGCGGTGCCAAACCGGAGCAGGTGAGCGGGGAGCTCCCTTCAGCCATGGGGCTTTCAGCCTTGCCCTGCTCTCCATCCCCCAGTTTGCAGGACAGCAGAGCCCCTTGGACAAGGGGCAGGGCTCGCTGCTGGTGCACCGTGTGGTGCATACAGTCCCCCTGTGGGTGCTTATTGTGCTTGTGAGGCCTCAGAGTTGGTTCTTA